ACAGCCACTCTCTACACTGTGCTATCCCTGACGCGTAAAATGGCCAAACCTGTCGGTGATTATCCTGAAGATGACCAACTTCAAGCTAAACGTACTAATTTTCAAACGTCCGCCATATTTTGTTACTTGGCTTTGCAGTAGTTGGTAAGAGTCTATTTAAGAAAGTATTAGTGGTTTGAATCTAATGGGCTGGGACACTCCCTGCACCGTATTGTCTAAACTCAATACACTTGTGTCTTCTGTTCACTGTGTGCTGTTTCACGAATACTAAATGTAATTTAAGTTTGCCTGGCAAACATGTCTTCCTACCACTGAAATTAGACTACGATTTTGCAGTAGATTTATCTCCTGAAAACGTATAGGCGACTGCCACGTAGTTTACATTAGATTGGGGTCACAAATGCCTTATCCAGGTTCGGCTGCTAGTATCAGCTGCTCATCCCTATGCGGCAAGACACAGAAAATGCAACAACCAGGCTAATTTGTTGACCTAGGTTCTAGCAAACTAAAAGCTGTACCCTGATCTATTTACGCATTGCGTTTAAATTAACATTTTTTGTTACTGTCTTGAAAATTCATTCTTTGTCACGCACCAAGCACTGCACCGCCTAGTTATATATTTCAGACCTTGGCAAAAATCACATGCTGCCCTATGCCCTGACAGTTGGCATAGAAAGTCAGTGATGATGGCTTCTATGCTTACGAACTCTTCTGATCGTAAATTAAATGCAGCTCGGAGAGGAAAACACCAGATTGAGATGCTGTTTTAGTTTTGTAGGAATGCTTTCATGACAGGAAAGCATTGTCCTGCTTCCAGAACAATAGTCCACCTTCACACACACATGTGATTCCTAGGAGGAGGAGAAGTGCTGTATTTTTCAGATGAAAATGTTGCACGAACAAAGATTAATGCAAGCATGGAAGTACATGTTGCGACTCAAGCAGTAACGTGTGACTTACACGAAGCTTTCAAGTTAATATGAGCCTCAGTTTCCTGTCATGTTTATGTATCACAATCCAGTTTGGGTCCAATTGCTTCGTCCATATACAGTATACCTAAAGCCGCTAAAAGTCTCCATGGGCTCCTTACTATATTGCGCACATCTATTTGGGTTTTTGGTTTGTCTACGTGTGGTTTTCAGTTGAATTACCAGTGATTTTAACTTCATTATAACATTGGTTCAGCCTGCAGCTGATTGGAAACTCTTAAATATATCCAAGGGTTTGCATCATAATGAAACTGTTAAGATACTATTTCATAGATAGATGAAAAATAATTCACTTAGGCTTAGCTTTAGGTGGAAATGTTAATTTGTCTCTACCTCAAAAGATTAATTTGTAGGTTATGATGGCAGTGTCATTATTATTTGAATAAGATATGGGCCTGCGGTAAATGGGATTGGGTTGAATGGGGCTGTACAATAACACACTACAGCCTTGTACTGCAGAGTCAAAATGGCGCTCGGTGCATGTTGTAAACGCATATTCTTCTGGCTTAATAGCCATCGGCTAAGTCTTGTGCATATGCAGTGAGTTGACAGCGGAAGCTGCAGGTAGGGAGCCGTTGTATGAGGATGGAAGGTTCCCCTCCCCCACAAACCAATGCACCAGACAGGCGCTCTCCCCGCCTGACAGGGCCTGTCTGGCAGGACGTGATGTCTGGTTGTCAATGTATTTACTGCGAGGCATCATTGCTGGTGGTCAGGATAGTCGTTTCTATTAACACTTCCTCCGCTTTCGCAGTGAAGAGTATTTGATTCATCCTTGCAGATCATTCTAAGTTTTTAAACAAAAGTTTTAATATTTAAGATGGATGAATGTTTGTAAAATTACATGTTTTTTTTTTAATTTTCTGGTCGAAGTTCCCATAAACCGAATAAGGAGAAGTATCCAGAACCTCTCTAAAATACTTTGCTTAAAACTGAGCAGTGAGAGTTTTTCACTATTGTCTCTGACTGCAAATGTATTTGCGTAATTTATTTAGTCATTTATTTTTTTGTAGTTTGGTTAATACCCCTTCAAGCATCGCGACTTTGATTGAAAGCGTTTCCTTCTTTCTTGTCATTATACGCAAATTTAAGAACTATAATATGCGGTGACAAAAAAAGTAAACCCACTTAGGCGAATGAATTTTAGTCTGATTTCCCAGCATAAGAGACAAGTTTGCGTACTTACCCAGAGCAACTCATTTGAACCCTAAACTCAAGTTCAGGGTTCAGTGTGGGCAAGAAAATAGCAATCTTCATTTTACAATTAATTATTTATAAATCTCGCTCTGAATGGGTAGTTCGGATGATATTAATTTGAATTTTTAAATACAACGTGAAACTTGGGCATGCGGAAACTTGCGGGAAATATTTATAAGAATCTGTGTATCTTAAGCAGGTTGAGGGTTAATGAAAGATAATGAATTCTGAAGTTCACCTTAACATATTTTCTGTGGGGCTAATTAAACACTATAGCTAACATGGAGTTACTGGTATCTTTGCTACTTTTCCTTAAACGCCTACATACTATCCAATCTATTTTTTTTGTTGTTGCTTTTTTTCCTCTCCTAACCATAAACGTGATAGTCATAATACTTACTTCTACTTACAAAGGGTTAAAGAAGGCAAATTCAATAGTTACCCGTATATTTAAGATGTTAATCTGTTGTGACAATGTAGTGTAGTCTAGTTTTTCAGAAATGATTGATAAATCAGAAACGGACATTTCCAGTCTATTTTAGAGAAATGTACAGGTCAGATTAACACGTGATTTATATATTTGTATACGAAAAAAGATAGTGGATTGCAATTTTCCTTCTCTTTTTTTTTTTGGCTTTGCTTTGTTTAATGTTAAACTGTCAGGCTGCCTATTCGACCAACGCTACATCATCAGTCTGGAGGAACTGTTTCTATAATCAGCAAGAAATATGCACTTGCATCTGTTATAGTAGACAGTATTGATTAAAAATACTAACAATAAAAGAAGATTTTTAATATACGGTCATTAATAATAAAAAGGAGCTAAATTCTTAGTTTGGAAGGTGCCGGTTTTCTGCCGCGCAAATGTTGTCAAATTCCTGATTTTCAAGCAGAAACTAAATAGTATTTGGAATTCTTTCCCCCTCTTCGCACATAGCAAATATTTTAGAGTAAGGGTCTCCAAATAACTTCTAGTTTGCTGCATACTTCAGTGTGAAGTTCATTCTTGCCTGTCTAGACTCTGATTACGACCTTGTTTGTCTGCGTTTTTTTACCTTGACCTTGGACTTCCGTGCAGCTGCCGCTTGGATGAGCTTTTCGCAGTTGTAATTTCCTTGAGACAAAAGAGCTAAAGTCTCTGTCGGAGGAACAACAGGGGTCCGGCTTCCCCAGTGCTGTTTGCAAATGCGCAACGGTTGCTCGATTATTCCTAAGACAACTCAGAAGAGCAAAAATGTTGATAAACTATCCGCCCTTTACAGGGTAGCTTGTAGCCTGCTTTATGAGTGACTCATGGAACAGGCATTACAAAAAGCCTTTATGGATTCACTGTGGGCCTAGCCTATCGGCCATATTTGAAACTTGAAAATACAGTAAAGTTTTATATATTAGCTCAGAAGTAATTTTTGAAATGCAGAACAGAAGAAAGTGTGTGTGTGTGTGTGTGTGTGTGTGTGTGTGTGTGTGTGTGTGTGTGTGTGTGTGTGTGTGTGTGTGTGTGGGGGGGTTATAGAACCTGGTGGTAATAAGAAGAACTAAAACTTTTTGAATAGTCTTACAAATCTAAAGGAAGACGCAGATAAAACAACAGAGGAAGAGTTGTTGGAAGAAATAGGTCCGCATATCTATCATGGAGTATAATTAAATAAGCTCTTTAGCCAAAATACAGTCCAGCTCAAAGCGGCCCTTGTTCTTATTTTCCCCTGGTAGCGTCAGCATCCACTTATAGAGTATGAATGAAGTGCACAGTGAAACGGAAACATCACATGAATTCGCTTAATGGTGACTTTGATTGTCTTCTTGTCGCTGAAACTCACTTTGGGCCTGAGAGTGAATCTTTAAACTAAATATATCTTTACTTAAACATATAACGGATTAAACTCTATAAAAACTAAACGCTATCAGTCAGTATGGGCAATTAAGGCATTTATATATTTAAATACCAAAACACTGTTCGCTTATTTTGTAATGACGGCGTCTTACCTGCTATGACTTTCATCTCGTCCTGTGGCGGCTGGTACTGCGGTGCAGTGACTGTCATTCAGCACATTCACGGTTGATAATCCTAAAACTCAGCCTGGTAGGTCTGCATCACATACACACGGCGCGCACACAGCCGGCCAACCTGTAGATACTTACTTAATTAAGAACAATATGCTGCAAAAAATAATTACCTCATTCTAAAAAATAACTAAATAAAAGAAAAGAAATACATAAAATGAAATATTATAGTTTTCACAATATCAACATCTTAAATGTAATATTAGTAACATCCTGATTATTCCCTGCTGCAAAAAAACAAAACAAAACAGAATTTCTTCATTATATTCATGTGCGAATTAGTAGAAGATACGGATCTAAATGCGCACTTCTAGGAAGGAGCCTTGATAAGAGGTTTGAATATGCATATATAGTGTCCCACATATACCTAAGACCAGTGTGCGATAATAAAGATTAAGTTGACTACATAATTAAGATTCCATATTACATTATCGTTCTGTAATATTATATATTTTTATATTTCAAACAAAACCCCAGACGCAACATATCCACCACAAAGTAATGGACAGAGATAAGAGTTTGTGTCATATGAAGATGAAAATACTATTTACAAATGTAAATACAAATATTTTATTTAAATTTTTTCTTTGCACAATGTTATATGCCCTGGCATCTTCAGAAATCGGCTAAACTTCACAGGTTGCTTTCGTTTGCTACAGATCGTGAACGTATCCAAACTCCCCTTTAAGGGTGTGGGTCTAGGTGATTTAAGCCAATGATATGACTCGGTGTTCTGCAGGAAAAACGGTGACACTTGAGGCAGTGGGTCTTTAAAGGGCTGCTCTGCTCCTGCTCACAAGCTCAATCTCGTAGGACTTGTTAGCGTATCACGTGCCAGATTCTTAATGAAGTGGACACACAAGAGCACTATGTGCGCATGCGCTCGGTGTAAACTGTAGTTGGAAATGAGGTGTCCGTCTTGGAGTAGTCGACTTTTAAAAAGCATCGGCAGCCCGTGATATGACGACTTCGCTAGTTCTGCATCCACGCTGGGCGGACACCTTGATGTACGTTTATGAAAAAAGCCCGAATGAAAACAACCAGAATAAAAGCCAAACAATGGAGGGACTGAGCGGTAATTGCCCTGCGACCCACTGCAGGGACCTGATGTCGCACCCCGCGCTGGGACGACATTCTGGCACCATAGCGACCCACCAGGGCTCCGTCTACTCGGATATTTCCTCCACAGACACTGGCCGACAGTGTCCCGCTTCTCAAACATCATCAAGTGCATCTTTGAGTTACGGTTATCCCTTTGGAAACCCATATTACGGCTGCAGATTATCTCACTCGCACAACGTGAACTTGCAGCAGAAGCCTTGCTCGTACCATCCCGCAGAGAAATATGCCGAGCCCAGCACAGCGCTGCCTACGGAAGAGCTGTCTACCAGGGCGAAAGAGTTTGCCTTCTACCCGAGTTTCGCCAGCTCGTATCAGGCTGTTCCCGGATATCTCGACGTGTCGGTGGTGCCCAGTATCAGTGCCCACCCTGAACCGCGCCACGACGCCTTGATCCCCATGGAGGGCTACCAGCACTGGGCTCTCCCTAATAGCTGGGATGGCTACAAAGAGCCAACACAACCAACTCATATTTGGAAATCACCTTTCCCAGGTATGGAAAAGTATAATGATTTTTAAAGTGTTCCGGCCGATTGGAATTTCTGTAGTAGTCCAGCTGCTTGCAGCATTTTAATACGCATTAGGGCTATTAAAAAGCAGGCAGATAGTTTACTTTGCTTTCGTACTGTGGTCATCTAATTTTATTGTGTTAAAGTCTCCGTATCAACTTACCAATGAGCCACGGGAAACTAAATCTGATGAAAAAACACACAACTGTAAATTCCCATGTCTGTCATCACGTGTAATTTTCCTGCATCTCCCATTTTATGCGGAGATATTCATATGGTTTGAAGTTCAACAAATCCCCATGCATTTCTTTGAAATATGCATAAATTGAAAGTAAATTGGAATTCCACGTTAAGGTGGGTTTTCTGGAGCCCATCCTTTCTGAGTATTTGCTTTTGACAGTCATATGATGACAATAGTTAAGTTTCGTCACGTAGAACAGAGAGGAACAGCACTGCATACCTTTGCCCCTTGTATGACAATATAGTGGCTTAGCTAGCCTGCTGCGTTTGGATGGTGCCAATAAATCTTAGCGCCCCCGTGGTGCGTCTTTTGCATATATTAGGATTCATTTATAACATTTGCATTACATACAGATCTTTGCATCATGTCGTATAAATGGTTCAAAAAGACGGACAGGCTCACCTTTTACGTTGTTTGCCATCACACAGCATGCCTCATATCAATAGCATGCGCCAGTATGCACTTTACAGAGTGTTTAGGCTACTTTGTTTAGCTTATGACTTTATTATCTTTTTGAAATCTGTAGCTATTTTTAATTTCTGGTAGGGACCCCATTGCTTTTTAAATGTTATAAATGTTACAAGAGCAAGCCACGCAAGCACGGGCACGCAGACAGTTACGCGCGTACACATGCACGAACACACAAGTGCGCGCTGCCTTTCTGTGCTGTTTCAGCCACACACACAGACTGACGTCCTCTCACGCGCATCAACTGATTTTCTTGCAACTAAAAACACATGCAGTGACTCTCATATCCAGTCAGTTATCCTCAATTTAATGACAAGATATAACTGAATGCTTGAGGACAGTGAGTCAAATAATAGGACATAGCTTTAAAATCCTTTAGCTTAAATAATGTGGATTTCCCCCCAATTTCATGTTTAAACAAGAATAGTGTATCGTAACAATCTCTTGCTGCCAATTATAGGGGGCGAAAAACTGCATGTATTACAGCTTGCCAGTATTTGTGTTAAGATTGCCATGCTTGTCCTGTCATGTTTTTGCACGGCTGTTTTGCATTTAGCTTTACTCTTGACGAAAGAGACTAGTCACAAAAGTTAGGTTAACTTAAAAAAAAAGAACTACGGGGAATTAACAAAAAAAGTGAATAGAGTATAAAAAAGAAAATTGCTTTATATTATGAGTAAAACTAGAATCTTTCAAGAAAGCCTTTAAAGAAAAGTATAAAATATGTTTAACATGTATAACTTTATTGTAAGAATTAAAAAGTTAAAGTTGCCAGCTGTCTTCAAGTTAGATGCCAGATTGTGATTCCTGTGTCTTACTGGTGACTGGTGTGTGGCACACACAAGCGGACCAAATATAATTACACTTATCAGTCTTACCCCACAGCTTGATTACATGTCAATGGGAGATTCGTTTAAGATAACAATAACCGCAGTTACGTTGGTCCACAGATTATCAGTGAGATCAGATAAAGTGTTAGTATGAACCATAACTGTCACTTGATATTGAAAGATCATTTACAACAACTGGAAGTTATTCAGTCTCCACATGTCAGGTGCAGCACACCAGAGATTCTGACTTCCAGAAAATTTTAACTCTGTAGCCCATTCCCGACACCACACACACACACACACACACACACACACACACACACACACACACACACACACACACACACACAGTCAAAGAGATTGTATTTTCCTATTTTCACTCCAGTAGAGTCCATCCAAATTTGACCGGCCTTGTCAAACGCAGCATTGCTGGTTTTGTGAAATGAAACGTTGTGCTATTTTGCACAGCGACTAATATTTTCCTGGAACTGTTCCTATTTTCTTGCAGATGTTGTGCCATTGCAGCCTGAGGTCAGCAGTTATCGTCGAGGGCGTAAAAAGCGTGTCCCTTACACCAAAATCCAGCTCAAGGAACTGGAGAAAGAGTATGCAGCGAGCAAGTTCATCACCAAAGACAAGAGAAGGCGCATCTCGGCCGCCACCAACCTTTCAGAGCGTCAAGTCACCATCTGGTTCCAAAACCGACGAGTCAAGGAGAAGAAATTTGTCAGTAAATCCAAGAACAGTCATATGCACACCACTTGAATGGATGAGCGACTTTCTTGAAACTGCAAGTCACACTTTCCAAATCATCTTGCCATATATTTACCTCTTCCAATCGTAGTTGAAGAAATTTCTTTTGTATTTTTAATTTAAGTTCCATCATCAACTCCACCGACCACGCAACCAAGGTCTCCGATTTCAATTTAGAAATAATGCTCTAAAAACTGTGAAAATATAGAAATTCACTTCACATTTTGTTTTATAGGAATGTACATATATAAATATATAATATTTAAAACGATATTAGTATTTCAAAGACAAGTATTGTGTGTTTCTTTTCCTGTTTCCTTTTTCTAAGATTTCAAAAGGACTGATGATATTTCAATACTTGCAACTGATCAAAACAGAGGACACGGTTTAATGTCATTTTTGAACTGTAATCGCCGCATGGACAATGGTTGCGGTGGCGAAAAGACATGCTGAACTTGAGACTTTATCGTCTTCAACAAAAGACTTTCGGAAGAAAGAATAATTTTCTAAATAAAAAAGGAAAAAGAAAGAAAAAGAAAAAAAATGTTACATCTGAATTTCAATAGCTATGTGTGTGGGATATGTAAAGCCTGGGGTAAAACAAAGGCTGCTATGTCGTTAATCTGTACAGTGCAATGCCTTTCTTATTTAATTCATATTATCTAGTATGGCGGAAATGTAAACTGGAATATCCCCCAAACCTGTATTTTTTCCTTTTATCAGTGAAGGATTCTGTCATGCAACCGGAATGATTGTAAACCATTAAAGTCAGTGAGTATTACACATAAATGCACAATCGTTTCTATCTTGTTTTGACTTCGTTGGTGTAACATTGGAGATGATCACACGCCTTGTACGACGCCTGTAATTTCTACTTTGGTGCAGTATGTGAACTGTTTTGTGGTGTTGAATTACGTACTGATAACGTGTTTCATAAATAAATGATGATTATGAAAATGCTCAAATATCCAAGTCAATCAGCCACCCTCCTCGCAGCATTTCCTTTCGTTTCAAGTTACACCGGTGCTACTAAGTAGCAGAGACCCAGACCTCTATCGCTTTTCCTCTACAACATCCCAGCAACGGATGGGCGAGTCCAGATTTTTATTTCGCACAATACTCGATTAAGAATAACTGGGCAACCTGGAGTCATCTTGTTGGCAAGCAGGGATGATACAGTGATTAGTCACGATTAGTGCGCAACAAGGCATACTGGCACTTGCAAAGTCAGAAAAACATAAATGAATAACTATGCTGGAATTTACTTCTTTCTTCCACATAGAACTACAATGTTGAGACTTACAGGACCCGTTTATTTACATAGATCAGCTTTGAGAAACGGAGAAATGTGCTCATGAAGTTTGTACCGCAAAATTCCACCGCAATTTCCATCAAAGTTAAAGGCAGTGCATTTTTTTCTGTTATTAGCATTCGTTCAAGTTTCAGAATAACTGGCATTCAGCGAATCAAATGGCTTATCTACCCGCTCTCACGCGAACATTTAGCGGGTTATTATTTTCAATCCTTATTATTTTCCGTCCACAGGTACAAAAGTGTTTTGTTGTGGGTCTAACGGAAACGTAAAAACCGGCAACCTTTAAGAGGGCAAGAAACAGTCTTAATTAGACACCATCTGTACTGAGAGTATTTATTCAGAACATATTTTGCTGATTAATATTTTCCAACATACTGACAAAACCTGAGTAGATTTAAAAGGCAAAGCATTTGCTTTGGTAAATGTAGTTTTAGTCCTGGATCTACAGGCTC